TGGCAGAATGAAGTGGAAGTTTCTGGATATGTTACCTGATACAGACTCACATGGACTGTTGCTCAACTCTGGGAGAACTCAGGATTCTTGGAGGGAGTGTAATAGGTCACAATGGACAGTGATGACGGGCTTGCATAGCAATTTTTTTTTTTTTGAGATAGGGTTTCTCTGTGTAGCCCTGGCTGTCCTGGAACTCACTCTGTAGACCAGCCTGGCTTGAACTCAGAAATCAGCCTGCCTCTGCCTCCCAAGTGCTGGGATTAAAGGCGTGTGGCACCACTGCCCAGCAGCAAATTTTACAACACTTTGTTGGTCTCAAGTTTTTGTCTTCTCTGATCTTGACTCTGTTGAGACAGTCTTGGCAGAGAACCTCTAGTGTCCCTTCTGGTCCTTGTCACTCCTGTTGACTCATGCTGATTCAGAGAAGGCCTGGCTGTTTCTGCTGGGTTGTACCATCACTGCTGATTCCTGTTTGCTAGCCTGAAAACACTGAGCTAGACTGCTGGTATCATGGCAATTGGAGATTGAAACTGCCCCAAGGAACTACTTCTAAACATCAATTCTTGAAGGGTATTTGTGAGTGAATTGAGCTGCCGCTGATGATTCATGAAAACTGAACAATGCAGATTGGAATTGGTCCAAAGAATTATTTCTGAACAGGTCCACTTCTTCCCTTCCCTGTATCCTAATAACTTTTCTTTTCATCTGTCTCTGGTGGGTGGTGGGCTAGAAGGGAGGTTAAAGCATTTAAGAGGCCTTATTGAAAGTAGCCTTGGAAAAATCTAAGCTTACAGCTTCTGGTCAGTGTAAATGCTTCCCTGACTCTGAGGAATAAATCAAAATAAATCCAGCACCCCTCCAGTACTCTTGGAGGTGGAGGGACCTCAAGCCACAGTCTTTAAGGCTATGCCTGGCCCTTATCACCTGACCCCATTCTCCTACCATTGGAGCTGCTATCTGCAGTTCCCTTAGGTCTCCTGGGCCATGGCGCCCCCTACCTGTCCTTTGCTCACCTTCCCTTCAGAGCTGCCTATCCCACAGATCCTCTAGGTCCTTGTGGGTTTTGGTGCAATCTCCTTAGGCCCTATTGGGCTTCTGTGACTTTTCTGGACCTGACTCCATCCCTCCACCCTTAGAGCTGCAACCCTGCAACTTCCTTAAACCCTGCTGGGCTCCTGTGACCCTTCCTGCCTTCTCCTACCACCCTCACTTTGGAGCTGCCTGTAAATTCCACAACTTCTCTAGGCCCTTGTGGCTTTTGTGACTCCATTCCCAACCCTTTCCTATGGACAAGATTCTGTATGTGAGCTGGTTCTAAGTCCACTTCTGGCATCTACGAAATCCCTAGTACCAGGCAAGAAGACTCCTAAGCTTAGCCAGGCTAAGCTGATGCCTGCTGAGTTGTGGTGATGACCCACTGTATAGCTTGAGTATGGAGGAACCCACGGCTACAGGCTGCAGTGACATTCTGCCTCCCCTTTCTCACCCTAGGGACAGTATGTTTTCTACCCTCTCATTCTCTTGGGATCCCTCTTACAAATCTCCAACATGTACATCTGAAACCAAACCTAAAGAGCACTAAATTTATTTACCTGTCCAGTCAAAATGGGCTTCAGTATCCCTTAGGTAAGTAACATGAATGGCCACTCAATGGCACCTTTGATCCTAAAATTGTTAAGCATCTTTACAAATACTATAAGCAATCAGGGAAATGAAGAGAGATTCCCCCATTGCCAATTTCTCTTTTCTGGAAACCCTGTTTGTCTCTCCCCAACACTGACTCAATGTAGCCATCCTGTCCTCTAAGTTACTATCTATGGCTCTGTTAAGTTTGTTGTAGTTTGGGAGCCAGAAGCCAACATAACAGGAATGGGAGAAAGCAAAGGAGCAGGCCAGCTGCAGCAGGCACACTTCCAGCACACACTCCTCCTGGCTAGTGAAGCTCTCAGCTCCCTCCTCCTCCTATAGACAGACCTCATAATCCCCCTGTCTCTAAGCCTTCTGTGTTCTCATCTTACTGGATTCTGTTTTACAGGAATCCAGATGTCTTTTAGGTATGAGTGGCATTAGACTGTTTTAAGCTATCCTATGTCAATTAAAAGCTGGCCCTGCATTTTGGGTATGGCTCCCCCTCCTCTACACCCAAGTATCTTAGTATAAAAGTTTCCTCCAAAATCTCTGTCCCATATCAGATGATCCACTTAACTATGGAACAGAAAGAGTAGAGATAAATAAAGGGACAGAGTATTCACAGCAGGGACTATTGCCCCTCATCTCTACTCTCTAGGTTTTGTCTTAATTCTCTAAATTCAATGAAGTGTATACTTAAAACCCGGTAAAAATCTGTAAGGAAGAAGTTAAATTTGTGACAACAGCATAGAGAGTTAAAATCTACACATAGAAATGTTAAAGGAACTATGTGGCTTGTTGCCATCTCAGCCACTGTCCCCTCATCAGGATGGAAGCAGCCACACTGCTGACAGCTGTAATTGCTAGGGTTTGAAAGGACAGTCGTTGCCATGTGACCAGGGGAGACCTCCTGAAAACCTTGGCTGGAAAAAATAAAGGAAAAAAAACCAAGAAGAACAACAAAACAAAGCAATACAAAACAGGACATGGATTCCAATCCTTCTACATAGAAACAGATCTGAGCTGGCTGAGACATTAATTTGTGTTGTCATTATTCAAAGCAAGGGTGGGAGAGCAAGAATGTTCCACAGATACAGCAAGAGCAAGAGACGGAGCAAGAGCAAGCAGACAAAGAGCAAGCCTTTCCTTCTTCCATGACTTCTTGTAAGCTTTCAACAGAAGATGTGGCAGAGGTTAGAAAGGGGGAAGGGGCCCCACTTCAAGCATTCTGGATTACAGGTGTGTCTTCCTACCTCAAAGAAAAGGAGCAGAAATTGATCTTCCCACCTCACAATAAGCAAAAATGTCTCACAGATGTTGCCCTACATTTTGAGGTTTTAGTTAAACCCATGTGTAGCTTATATCAAACAATCAACATCACTGTCCCTGTCAGAGTTCTGCAACTGCTCTGTTTGGGGCTTTGCAGCTCCTTTTAGCACTCTTGGCTCTGCCTCCTGACTCCTCTGTTACAGGGAGTTTTCTTCTCACGTGTGGAAAAGCATGGAAAGTTCTTCTGAATGTAGGTTTGATAAGAGCAGGGCAGCATGAGACCTGAGACCCCTGAAGAAGTGCAGACAGGAAGGAGGTCCTGGGGCAGCTCAGCCAGCCTGGATCCCCTTTACCCTCAGCTCTGTGGGCTCTGGCTCAGTTCTTTTTTCTTGTTCCACCAGGGGGCGCTGTTGCCCAGAAACGTAATGCTTCTCTTTCCTCTTCAACAGGTGAGACCCTGGAGGGTCTGCAGTGGGAGGGAAAATGGGGAAAGGGGACACCTTTCTCACTCTGGATGTTGGGATGTCATGGCCTGTTAGAAATTAGCACTCAAACGTCTGAGTGGGATTTATCTTGTTCATTGGAAATAAAAAACTAACATTAGCTCAAGTGCAAAGATGAGCACACACTGTGTCTTCTCCATGGGATGAGGTTGTAATCCATTGTGCACAGTAGGTCCATAAAATGAAATATGTTTTGTTTTCTAATGTTATGATTTTTTTTTTGCAAATTTTCTTTCAGTAGGGCATATTTCAATCAACTGTGCCTGTCTTCCTCCAGAGCTGGCATCATTGGCTGGTGGTGTAGTGTTGTCTAAAGAGCCCTGTGCCCTCAGCCCTGGCCTCACTGTCTAGATGTGTAGGGGAAAGAGAGGGAGTATTTTTCAAATCATATTTTTAAATTTTTATTTTCATGGAAAGTACTCATTTTTATACATGAGTATGTAGGTGCAATAGCATTGGATCCCTTGGAACTGAAGTTACATATGGTTGACAGCCCCCATGTGCTGATGGAACTCATCCTGGATCCTCTGCAACAGCAACAAGTGCTCTTAGCTGCTGAGCCATCTCTCCAGCCACTATTGGGATATTTACATAAAGAACCCACACAGCTGATTCATAGCATGCTGGCTAAGCACCAAGAGAGAAACTAGAGGTACAGGAAGAGATAGGGTTAATGGAGAGCTCAGGAGGGATGGGTACTGAGCACTGATGGGGTGAGGACTGAGGGACAGAGAGGGGCTGAGCAGGAGGAGACAGAGGCAAAGGAGGAGATGCTAACCCAGCAGAGTCCCCTGTCTGAGGGTATGTCTGTCAGACTGCACTGGACACATCTCCAGAACCCTGCTGGCATCTTATATTTCATAGTGAACGCTGTGCTGGTTTGAATGAGAATAGCCACACAGGCTCATAGGAATGAATGCTTGAAATCCAGTGGATAGAACTCTTGGGAAAGGATTGGGATGTGTGGTGTGGTTGGAGAAGTGTCACTGGGGCTGGGCATTGAGGTTTAAAGAACTTCCAGGCTTCAGGCACCTGTGGTGGTCTGTGTGCAGTTGACTGTACAGACATTGGTAGCAGCTTGACTGGACTTTAATGACACAGGAGGTGGGAAACTGCACCCTCGGGCCATTATAGAGCTTATGAAAGTGCAGATCACCATAGCCAATATGTAGGAGCTGCTGAAGATGACTGACAGGTGTTTCAGGAAGTGCATCTGGAAGCCTTGGGCTCCTTGGATAACTCAGAACAGGACTGTATCACTATGTGCATGGGTCTCTCCTGGTGTCCAGTTTCTGGGTCAGAATTCGGAGACACAATGACAAACAGCGCTCTGTCCACAGCACAGGGTTCAGGCAAAGTCTTAGTCTCCAGGCGGTGAGGTCAGGGGTGGGGAAGCCCAGGACTGGGGATTCCCCATCTCCCCAATTTCAATTCTGTTCCTTACCTAGGACAGGTCCTTCTGCCCAGACTTTGATAACTCAATAACACATTGCCCTGATAACATATCTGGTCACGTTGGTGACCAGATCCTGAGGAACCAACCAGCATCGCTGTGGGCAGGCACTGGTTATAAAGTCCACACAGCCCACAGGACTCAGACTTCCCAGATCCCAGATGTGGGCGATGGCGCCACACACGCTCCTGCTGCTGATGGCTGCCCTGGCCCTGACCCAGATCCGAGCGGGTGAGTGCGGGTTTGGGAGGGAAATGGCCACTGTGGGGAAGGGCGGGGACGGAACTGGGAAAGCCTTGTCCCCGCATCGCCCACTGGATCCTCCACCCCTTCTCAACCAGCATGCCGAGCTCCCCCGCCCTACTCCTCTCCCAGCCCACGCACCCGCCTGGGGTCCCGGGAGGAGGTCAGGGTCTCACCATGTGCCGCCCCCAGGCTCATACTCGCTGCGGTATTTCCACACCGCCGTGTCCCGGCCCGGCCTCGGGGAGCCCCGGTTCATCTCTGTCGGCTACGTGGACGACATGCAGTTCGTGCGCTTCGACAGCAACGCGGAGTATCCGAGATACGAGCCAAGGGCGCCCTGGATAGAGATAGAAGGGCCAGAATATTGGGAGAGGCAGACGCAAATCGCAAAGAGAAATGAGCAGATTTTCCGAGTGAACCTGAGAACCCTGCTCGGCTACTACAACCAGAGCGAGGATGGTGAGTGACCCCGGGTCGAAGGTCACAACTCTTGCACTTCCCGGACACGTCTCTGGCCCCACGTCCAGGCACCAGTGACCGGCTTCCCTTTCAGTTAGGAGGAGTCCGCGGGTGGGCGGAGCCGGGGCGGGAGCGAGGCTGACCGCAGGGTCCCGCAGGCTCTCACACCATCCAGTGGATGTCCGGCTGTGACATAGACTCGGACGGGAGCTTCCTCCGTGGATACTGGCAGTACGCCTACGATGGCCGCGATTACATCGCCCTGAACGAAGACCTGGAAACGTGGACGGCGGCGGACATGGCGGCGCAGATCACCCGACGCAAGTGGGAGCAGATTGGTGATGCAGAGAGAGTCAGGGCCTACCTGGAGGGCGAGTGCGTGGAGTGGCTCCGCAGATACCTGGAGCTCGGGAAGGAGACGCTGCTGCGCACAGGTGTAGGGGGGCGGGCAGTTCCTCCCTCTGCCCTCAGGCTGGGGTTCAGTCCTGGGGAACAAGAACCCCTCAGCTGGGGTGATGCCCCTGTCTCAGAGGGGAGAGAGTGTCCCTGGGTCTCCTGATCCTCATCACAGTGACTGCACTGACTCTCCCAGGGCTCAGCCTTCTCCCTGGACAGTTCCCAGTCTGTCTCAGGAGGGAAGGAGAGGAGTTCCTGACAGAACAGCAGGGGCTCCCTGCTGTCAGCCATGGCCTCTCCCAGGCTGGGTTCTCTGCACACACCCACTGTCTGTGGACACTGACTCCTGTCATGCTGAGTGTGTCAGCCCTTACACATCAGGACAGGAAGTCTCCTTTACTTGATGGGAGACATGGACTTCCCTACACTGAGATGATTCCCCCAGTTTCTAGAACTTTACAAAGAATACATTCTCGCATATCTCTCCCTGTCTGTGGGGTTTTCAGCCCTTCAACAACCCAATTCTATCTATTCCTACAGTGGTGAATGGTCACATCAATCCTAATGGGGTATCCTGGAGGAATATAAATTGTGGAATTTCTTTCTTCTTCTTTTCTCTGTTTTCTTTTTCTTATTTCTTACTTTCTTTTTTCTTTACATTTCTTTTTGAAGACATTATTTTGCTTCTAGTCAGTTTTAGTCTGCACTGGAATGATCCTGTTTCTCCATGCCCTTGTATTATCATTTTATCAGTCTCCACAGGTGCCAGGGGAGACTGCTAACCTGGGTAATTAGACAAGTTAATTCAGGGTTCTCATTAAAGGAGAGATTCTAGTAAGCTTAGACTGTTTCTTGCCAGAACTAAACATCCAGATCCCTCCTGCTCTTCCTCTGTCCAAGTAATAGTGCTCCCCTAGTGAATCAGGAACCTGACTTTCTGAGAGACAGGGTCTTCTGCAATCCAGGGCTGAAGTGAGAGGGAAGATCCACAAACCTGTGAGCCCACTGTGTTCCAGTGAGTGCTGCACTGGGGTCCAAAGCACACTTCAGGGATCCTGTGTAACACACCTGTATCTTGTCTCCTCAGAGGAAGGAGCAGGAGTCATTTTCTCTGGCTGAGTGTCAGATGTTCACCACATTTCTGCTACACACTCTGTGATGGATGTTCACTTGGACTAACAGTTAGTTATGCTGGTCAGCACGATGACCACAGTATTTGAGTCTTAGAAGTGGTAGCTGTAGTTGTGGGCACCCTTCATGTAGCCCTGACCCTAATTTCTTATTTGACATGAATTTAAAGTCATATATAAATTAAATATTTTCCATTTCATCTTCCATTCTATGACTACCTATCTCATGCTGTAGAATATCACATAAGAATGACCATGTTGACCCACTGGCTCATATGGATTCCTTCTTAGTTTCTGAGTCCCCCCAAAAAATCAGTTCTGTGCTGAGGGGACCAGCTCTATCTGCAGATCATGAGAGTTTAAGTATAAGACACACAGTTCAGTGTCATCACTGATTTAATGATGTTTTGTGTAGTTTTCAGTTTGTCTTGTTAATTTTGTGGTTTCTTACATCTAACTCAGATCCCCCAAAGGCACATGTGACCCATCACCCCAGACCTGAAGGTGATGTCACCCTGAGGTGCTGGGCCCTTGATTTCTACCCTGCTGACATCACACTGACCTGGCAGTTGAATGGGGAGGAGCTGACCCAGGACATGGAGCTTGTGGAAACAAGGCCTTCAGGGGATGGAACATTCCAGAAATGGACAGCTCTGGAGGTGCCTTCTGGATTGGAACAGAATTACACATGCCATGTGTACCATGAGGGGCTGCCTCAGCCCCTCACCCTGAGATGGGGTAAGGAGGGTGTGGGTGCAGAGCTGGGATCAGGGAAAGGTGAAACCTTCTGCAGACCCTGAGCTGGTCAGGGCTGAGAACTGGGGTCATGACCCTCACCTTCATTTCCTGTACCTGTCCTTCCCAGAGCTTCCTCCACCACAGACTCCAACACGGGGATCATTGTTTTTCTGGTTGTCCTTCGACCTGTGGCCATCATTGCAGCTGTGGTGACTTGTGATGAAGAGGAGTAGAAACAGAGGTAGGAAAAGGCAGGGTCTGAGTTTTATCTCAGCTTCCTTTAGAAGTGTGCTCTGTTCATTAATGGGAAACACAGCCACACCCCTCATTGCTACTGTTTCCAGCTAGGTTTGCTGTCAGTTCTGGAAAGTTCCTAGTGTCAAGATCTCCCTTGGACTCTCACAGCTTGTCTTCTCACAGATGGAAAAGTAGGGGACTGTACTCCAGCTCCAGGAGAGTTTGGGGGACAGTATTGTCCCTTAGCCCATTGGAGTGAAGCAGGAGATGTTGAAAGCTCTGGAAACCCATAATAGTTTCTGTGTTGTAATCATTCTGAAGCCTATGTCAGACCTTACTATTGGAGTGAAGCAGGAGATGTTGAAAGCTCTGGAAACCCATAATAGTTTCTGTGTTGTAATCATTCTGAAGCCTATGTCAGACCTTACTTTGCATATTTCCTTACATATTTTACCCTAGGCAGGGACAGCTCCCAGAGCTCTGATATTTCTCTCCCAGATTGTAAAGGTGACACTCTGGGGTCTGATTGGGGAGGGGCAATGTGGACATGATTGGGTTTCAGGGACTCCCAGAATCCCCTGTGAGTGGTGGGTTGTTGAAATGTTGACTTCACAGTGATGGTTCATGACTCTCATTCTCTAGTGTGAAGACAGCAGCCTGGAGTGGACTGCGTGACAGACAGTGTGTTCAGGTCTCTCCTGTGATGTCCAGAGCCCTCAGTTCTCTTTAGACAACAGTGTCCGATGTTCCCTGTGATCCTCTGTGCTCAGTGTGAAGAACTGTGTAGTCCAGCCTGCCCTGCACACCAGCACCCTGTCCCTGCACTGCCTGTGTTCCCTTCCACAGCCAACCTTCCTGATCCAGCCACACACTGGGGACATCTGCTTCCTGTCAGCTCCATGCTGCCCTGAGCTGCAGCTCCTCACTTCCACACTGAGAAAAATAATCTAAACATGACCTTGATTGTTAAAATATTGACCTGAGTGTCGATGGCTTATTAATTTAATGGATTGAGAATACTAAAATGTCTAATTTTTGAAGAAATAAATAGCAGATGGAGAACCTTCCAGAATCTGTGTCACTAAGCTGTGTGTATCTGGTGGGACAGGATGAGGCTGTGGGACCTGAGTTTGAACAGGGCTGTGCCCAAGTGGGCTCAGTGTGTTATTATCTCTGAAGGGGTCACTCCTGAGCTATGTCACCTCCAGGCTCTGCTCTCTCCATCACTATGAAGCACATTCTGAGAGTCTGGTCACAAGGACACAGGGAAGGGACTCAGCAGAGTACCCTGTTTGAGGGTATTTCTGTCAGACTGTAATGGAGACATTTACAGAACCCTGCTGGCATCTTACATTTTATACTGATGGCTGTGTTGGTTTAAATGAGGACAGCTACACAGGATCATAGCAATGAGATCTTCATATTCAGCTGATGGAACTCTTGGGAAAGAATTGGGATATGTACCTTGGTTGGAGATGTGTCACTGGGGCTGAGCATTGAGGTTTAAAAACTTCCAGGCTTCAGGTAACTGTGGTGGGCTGTGCTTGGTTGGCTATGCAGCCATGGGTAGTGGCTTGGCAGGACTTTCATGACATTGGGGTGGAAAGCTGGACCCAGGGGCCATTATAAAGTAGGTGAAAGTGCAGATCACCATAGCCAATGAGTAGGAGCTGCTGAAGAAAATGACTGACAGGTGTTTCAGGAAGTACAACAGGAATCCTGGGGCTCTTGACATAACTTGGAACAGAAATGCATTACCATGTGAGAGACTGCTACATGGATGCCTTGAACACTGTGTCCTATGCCTGCAACTCTAGACTGCAGAGGGAACAAGCCAACATGTGACCTAGACCTGTGCCTCCTGACATTGTTCTCAGAAGAGAGCAAGGACCAGTGTGAGTGCAGGGATCTCCTCCTCAGTGAGTGCTGCCTCTACTTAGCTGTGACCTTGTGAGAACAGGCCAGTAAATCCCTGCTGGGAGGGTGGGGGATGTGGGATTCCCACTGTTCCCAGTGTCTTCCTTGGTGTGCAGATAGAGATGTGAGCTCACACTGTTCCTCCACGACAGATTTCTTTTGTTTGATCATGGACTCAAACTCTCTGAGGCTAGAGAACAGATTAAATACACATTTACAAGTTGCTGGAGTCACAGTGCCTTATCTTATCATAGTCATAGAAAAATAATTAAAGCCAGGTGTGATGACACAAGTCTTTAATCCCAGTATTCAGGATGGAAAGACAGGTGGAACTCTGTGAGTTCAAGGCCAGCCTGGTGTACATGGTGAGTTTCAAGATAGCCAGAGCTGTGGAGACAGACTTTGTCTCAAAATAGAATAAAATAAGAAGAAAAGTAACAGACACAGACGCTTTCTGTGAAGCTGCCTAAGGCCAGCTGCCTCCTTAAGTTAGTCAGGGTGAAACCTAACAGCATCAGTTTCCCAGAGAAACACAGAAGAGATCAGGTCAAACTCCACAGAATCAAAAAAAAATGTATGATTTAATTTATCCTCACACTACTGATCAAGGATGAAACCTTACATCACCCATGTGTACTCTCTGGCATGAGAATCATCTTTCTTCCAGTGTTCACACTGAAGAGGCTGAGGAACTCTGGGGCCAACTTGGTTATCAGATTCACTGTCCCACACAACTGTGACATTCAAGTCCCTCACCTCATCAGCTCATTAGTGTGAGTGAAGGTCAGAGAGGGAGTGAGAGGGCCACAGATTACCTAACTTCTAACACACTGTCATCACTATTCTGTGTTATACTAGTGACAATTCCTCTCCTACTGTGATTGAGTCATTAAAACAACTGTACCATAGAAGTGCAGACACAGGGCAAGTGCAGTGTAGACAGGTATTAGTGCCCTGCTGTCTGTGTTCTACACAGGGGTCTTTTCCTTGTGGACAAGGGGGTTTCCTGTGCTGAGACAATGACCCAGGTCCATATGGACAATATCAGGACCTGGAATGAAGATCATTTTAAAACACACCCACCTGGATACACTCTATCTGTGAAGAAACAAGAGAAGTCTGAGTCCAACTCTGAGATAGAGAAGGCAGATCCTGAGGGAAGAGGGACTCTTCCTGCACTGAGGCTTCGTAGTGTGAGCCACCCACTGCATGTGAACAGAGCCTGATCTCTGTGGGGTCTATGTGGGACTTGCAGGCCAGCGACTCTGTTTTAAGGAGAAGCATCTCTCCACTGCATCCTCTACTGCTTGTGTCGCCATTGTATTCCCGGTAGTGGCTTTTTTTCTACAAGACTCCAGGGTTTAACTTCTGAAGAGAAGAAGGAAAAGGAAGGGTGGAGGAGAGGACACAGAGAGTCTGGCCTGCTGGTCAGTCAAAGTCTCAGTCACTGGGCTGTAAGGTCAGGGGTGGGGAAGCCCAGGGGTGGGAATTGACCATGTCCACAGCTTCACTTCTGCTCCTAACCTGTGTCAGGTCCTTCTGCGTGGACACTGATGACTCTCTGGTAGATCTCACCCCACAGCCATTGAGTGGTGTGATCCAGGGGAACCGACCTGCATCACCCAAGGCACTGGTTATAAGATCTATGCAGCTCAGGGGACTCAGAAGCCCAGATCCTAGATGGGGCAATGTCCCCTGAGCATGCTGCTCTTGTCGCTGTCAGCTGCCCTGGCCTGGACCCAGACCCAGGAGGGTGAGTGCGGGATCAGGAGGCAAATGGCCTCTGTTAGGAGGAGCCGGGTGGAGTGGGGTAGGCAGGGTGGGGGTTGCCCCCTGTCCCCAGGGCACCCACCAGACCCTCTGCTCCTTTTCCATCCGTGTACTGAGCCCCGAGCCCTCCAGTTTGAGAGTACTTCGACAGCAACACGGAGAATTCAAGGACAGAGCCATGCTGTGGGTGGAGTAGGAGGGGCCTGAGTATTGGGAGAGGGAGACACAGAGAGTCAAGGACTTGGAGCAGACTTTCTGAGTGGGCCTGAGGAACATTATGGGCTACTACAATGAGAGCAAGGGCGGTGAGTGACCCCGGGTGGTAGATCATGATCCCACCAGGTCCCTACACTGGGCCCGGAGTTTTCTTGGGACCCAAATCTCAGGTTCAGACCAGTTTCCCATTCAGTTTGGGGGAGTTAGAGCGTGGGTGGGGATGATCCCAGGATGGGGGGCTGACTGCAGGGTCCCGCAGGCTCTCACTTTCCAGTTGATGTCTGGCTGTGACGTGGGGTCGGACGGGAGACTCCTCCGCGGGTACATGCAGTATGCCGCATTAAATCGCCCTGAAAACGTGGACGGTGGCGAACATGGCAGCATAGATCACCCGACGCAAGTGGGAGGAGGCTGGTGAAGCAGAAAGACACAGGGCCTACCTGGAGGGCACCTTCAAGGAGTGGCTCTGCAGATACCTCGGAGCGCTCGGGAAGGAGATACTGCTGCACACATGTGCAGGGGCCACAGGCAGCTCCTCCCTCTGCCCTCAGGCTGGGCTCAGTCCTGGAGAAGAAGAAACCCTCAGCTGGGGTGATGCCCCTGTCTTAGAGGGGAGAGAGTGTCTCTGGGTCTCCTGATCCTCATCACAGTGGCTGCACTGACTCTCCCAGGGCTCAGCCTTCTCCCTGGACAGTTCCCAGTCTGTCTCAGGAGAGAAGGAGAGAATTTCCTGACATAATAACCTCTGCACCCTGCTGCCAGCCATGGCCTCTCCCAGGCCAGGTTCTATGCCCACACCCTCTGTACACACTGCCTCCTGTCATGCTGAGTGTGTCATCCCTTACACCTCAGGACCAGAAGTCTCCTTTACACTGATGGGAGACATAGACTCCCCTACAGAAGGCTGTCTGCCTCAGTTTCTAAAACTTTTCAAAGAACACATTTTTGCATATGCGTACCCACCCCTGCACCTTGTCTGTGAGGTTTCCATGGCTTCAACAACCCAATTCTATCTATTCCTACAGTGGTGAATGTTCACAGGAGCCCTTATGGGGTACCCTGGAGGAATACAAATTGTGGAATTTCTTTTACTTCCCCCCCTTTTTCTATTTCTTCTTCTTCTTCTCCTTCTTCTCCTTCTTCTCCTTCTCCTCCTTCTTCTTCTTCTTCTTCTCCTTCTTCTTCTTCTTCTTCTTCTTCTTCTTCTTCTTCTTCTTCTTCTTCTTCTTCTTCTTCTTCTT